TCATCACACATGGTGTAATTGGACGTGATGCTTGCTCGGCTATCTGGTTCCCCGGCATTGGCGTTAGATGACGCATTGGCCTGTGCGCTCCCCAAGTGGCAAATTGCTTTGGCGAAACTGAGCCTCAGCATCGAATCTGGGTTTGGCAGGTCCGTGAACCATGACTCAAGGAATTTGCGACTCACACGATGGCCATCTCTTGCGAGAATTTCGGCCTCATCAAATTTGAATGTGTGGCCGGGTCTCATCGAATGAACCGCAACTTGAGAATTGGCGTCATTTCTCTGCACTGCGGCCGCGTGTTCGGTCGTTCGCGTCTTGAGAAGTACTCCGGTTACCCTGACGTAGTTGCTTTGTCCGCAACTATATCAGATCATATGGACGACTCTGGATGTTTCGAAATGTCAGGCGAGTAAAACTCTTGTCCCAGAGATCGCATCTTCTTCTCAATTACTTCCTGGGGCTAGCATGTTCACTTGTATTGGCAGTCAATACTTTGTTTTTATCATGAGTCGAAAAAGAATTTTCAACCTATTTAAGTTTCATTCTAAGGCAATATTTGGAATTTTCCCGGCTGTCACCGGTACGTATGTCCACCTAAATATGAAATCTGGTCAGAGAAGTCAATAATCCCCAGATCAAAGGGCATCGGTGAGCGTGATATCGATATGTTTTAATATTGAGAATCATTTTTTTCATGAACACGTGGTTTACTAGGATTTTTGCCTTACGAATACATACGTCCTTCATGTTTCTTCAAAGACGAACGCTGGAAAAATTAAGCGTATTTTGCCCGTTTGCGCTGTTATGCCTGGAAGTAATATTTTTGTACTATATCCGGATCCCCAAAATGCCTGAATGCGACAAATAGCCCGGCCACATTCCTCTTACCCTCAAATATTTATATTATCAGTGTGGACCAAATCATTTCAAACAGCTAAGTAAACTAGAAGAAGTCGTAGCGTTCACCGCAATCGTAACTTTATTCATCTGAGCTTTCGGGCTCTTGCGGAGTCCATCGTCAGAGATAAAACGTCAACGAAAAGCGAGCAACAGTTATGGGGGGCAGGAACCAATTAACTGTTAGAGGGGTGGGGGGGGAG